TATGCATTCTAGATGTGCTAGGTTACTAGACATAGGTCGAAGAAACAATTTTATTCAAAGCTATGGTAACACAGACAAAGAAGACAATGGCGAATGGAATCCGAAATGATTCATCTTAAAAAGCGCGAATTAAAAACATCTTTAGAATAAATAAAACTTAAGACCATTTTGGCAATAATTATTTAATATTTCAGTATGAGCTCTCCATCATTTTGCACAATGGATTTACACAAGAAATGGGTGATTGCCAAAAATCCAAAACAACTTTGAATCTTTTAAGAGTTTGGATCAAATTCGTTGCTTCATTTTCAATCAAATTAATTTAGGCCACAAATCGAATTAAAACTTTTTAGCAACCGTCATAAAGTAAACTTCATATGTGTATTTGCTAATCATTCTTTCATTTCAATATTCAAGATAGAACATTTCTATATAGTCAAAGCTTACTTGCAACTCTCTACAAATCTGTTTTCGAATATCAACAATATTTGTTGTCATAAAAATCGTCAGAATAAACACGTTCAGAATATGTTTTAATTAAATCGTCAAAGATACTTACAACAAAGGAACAACGAACGTAAATTAAATCCAAACTGAAATCAGAGAGTCACAATCCACTCTGGTGTAAGAACACACAACCAATGTACGATAGATCGCCTTAAATCAATGGTTTTGATGCAATTTCGACGAATGACCAGATTTAAAGGTAGACCGCGGCTTGAAAACGAAGCAGTTACATAATCTGGAATTATTGGAATAAAATAACATGATATTTTTTACTTAATATCTATGAGTGTTAGGATAATCCCGCCAGGATCCGCTAGGGGGATTGTTCACCTACAGGTACCAGTGGATGAACGCGGATCAAAAGATATAGGTACATTAATTTAAAAGTTTTATCTTCTTTCGAATCAGAGCGCGACGTTATTTGTGACTTTACATAATTAAGGCTCTTTAATTCCAAAGGTTGTTCCATCTCTCGGTAATAATTGTCAACGGAGCAGATGAAGCGATTTATGGGTTTTAATTGTTGTTCCACTAGTTTCCCATATGTATCCCAAATCAAGAAACTCTGTTAAACCAAACTGTCTCGTGTGTCTTGGTTTTTTTATGCCCTTGGATCGAAAGATCCCGGGGTATATTGTTTTTGTCCTGTCTGTCTGTCTGTTGTCAACTTTAACCTAGTCCATAACTATTGCACTGTCACGGCTAAGTATATACCACTTCAAGTCTACTTCCGACTCCAGAATTGTGTTACCATCGGGGGCATAGTGTTTCACCAACACATCTTGTATTTTCTTGTACTTCATATATCCACCTAGCTGCAGAACTGTTACATTATGGTTTTAAGTATGTCTTTGACCATTAGACTTATATATTATAATCACAATGCTACAGTTCTGCAGCTAGTATCCAACTTGTTAAAATTATGCTTTGAAAAAGGTACAAACTTTACGACACTTTACTGCACGAACGTTTTTTTTGGGGGGGGAGGGGTGTACTTATGGGACATGGAGTAGTTCTGATGAAGGAGGGGGGTTAAACTCAGCCTCCTCTTCCCCCTCACCACTCCCGATTCGTCACCTGTTACACGGGTGCGATTTTAATGAGAGAATGTTAGCCGTCAGATTTGGAAGTGTTAAATCTCTACTATTTCATTGCATTACATCAAAAGGGATCTTAGGATTACACGCGATCCCTCCCTTTGTTGGTTTTCTTCCAACCTTACGTGATGCTCCCGATAGAAATAGGAAATTGGATATGAATTATAGGACTAAATGACTAATATCAACTCCATATCGGTAACAGTCGGGCACCGGTAAATTAACCTATACTGGCGTGTCTATAGAAATAGTCTTATTGAGTTTCCAAAGGTAACACTCAAATGTGCAGCGAGGGTATAAAGGAAATCACGCTACGGTGTTGCGCCTCGTAATAGAGCAGGGCGCAAAAAGCCGATTATTAATACGAAGATCAACAAAGTCAATATGAAACATTGTACAGTATTGTTTTTCATAACACTGGTAATTACAAAACAGTACGTCAAATTGAATTCAACATTTTTGTGAAAAAAGAATAAACATGTGACATAGTGGAATTATTACCATGTTGAATCATCTTTGCTCACAGACCGGAGCGCATGCTTATCGAGTTTTTTTCAGATTTTCAATTGTGTCCCAGTCCTAACCCCAAATACACCCCCCCCCCACCCGAAAACGAAATGGGAGGGGGAGATCAGATAGAGCTTGCAACAGTTAAAGCCACTCAAAACACATAAATATTTAAGGTTATATTTAGAAACATTAAAAAGTGTTATTACGCTATATTTTGTCACCGTCCAATGACCAATGAAAAATAATTGCTAAGATATAAAAAGTAGAAACGCTGCTTTGCAATCTCAGGTACAGGTATGCATTAACTTATAAAAAATTGAAAAAAAAATATTTTCTATAAAAACCGATTTGTCATCTTTTATGTTGAAAATCTATTCAATCTCTGGGTACAAAATGCCTCTAAACATCAATCATCGTCAACTACATGTATTTGTTACGACAGAATGCTCTTAAAATATTAAATTGTACCATATTCAAATACAGTTTCTTTGAACGAAAAAGGCCAGCTTCAGATAAATGTATTTACCTCGAAATACTAAGATTTTTATAACTGGTACACATCGTGTCAATACCTGTCTGTCACAATAGATTCTGGATGACAATCGAGGCCCTACAATATCCCCCGTCCGCCTTTTATCCCCCATTCCCGGGGCTTTATCCTTCTGAAAGGCCTTGTATCGATTTGAATTTCTTTATCACATTCACAGAACCCAATATTTATTTTGCCAGAAAATACAATCTTTACAAAATTTACTTTAAGGTGATAATGGTCGGTTTTTCATTGAAATTTTGACAGTGAAATACTGTTTTATGCTACGAGGTTCTAGATCACACTAGAGGCTACCTGTTTTCCGGTATATATCTTTGATTTTTAAGTCTTTTAACTTTTATCAGCTATGACCAAATGCACAAAAATGTATCAACACATTTGCAAGAAAATTGAGAAATTGATTATCATGTTACAGACAACAACATTGATAAAATTATAAATTTCGTGATATTTTATAAAAAAAAATGTGAAGAAAAAAATAAAGATGCTACTTATTGTTGAACCATACTTGTTGATGTTTTTGTAACTTAAGAGGTTAGCTAAAAGGATGACCACAGTCTCTTCCTCTTCCTGTAGTTAATAAAACCCTATGACTGTATGTATCGATAGGATGAAAGGTAATTCAAGCAAACTTAGACCCGTTATAGAAATCAAACAGGGATCTGTCTGTAGAACGCCCACCCCAAAAATTCCAAGTTTGATTAGAAAATTCCACTTTCTCAAAACTTGACATGGATATTATTATTATTATTATTAGAAAACCTTGGAATTCATAATTGAAATAATTTAAAAAGAAAAAAACTTCTCATAAAATAATCTGATGGTTACACATAAGATTCACTTTTACTAAAATTCATTTAATTTTTACCCAAAAAAATGGACAAAACTTCCTTACCTGTGTGAGTCCGTTATGACAAGTGAGTGTTTAATTTTGTAGGCGTTCTGGATTTTTCTGTAAATATTTCCTAAAAATACACTGTCACTGATGTTTGTTGTTTGAGTTTACATAGGGTCAACGGTATCTATAATTAGTCACAAATCACAACAACTCGCACTCGCTTTTCCAAGTTTGTGAATGAGCATTACCATGTTACGTTATATGCGGCGGGATTTAAATTTAGTGACCCCTACTTAAAAACTTTAAACAAACATTTCGTAAATCAATGCAAATAGCAACACACTAGAGTCACGCAACTTAACTTGATAGCCTTTCTCTTCTTACATGTACCTGTGTAATGGGCGGATCCCATCTCACACCCCCTTCATCTTTTACATACCAAACATAGTGAGAGGAGGGGGGGGGTAAAATCGTAACACACATATAAATTAAGCTAAAAGGTAAAATTCCCATTCGGCTCATCCCCCATACTGTTCCAGTGATACTGACCTATTATAAAACTGAATTAATTGAAAAAAAGGATAGATGGAAAAAATGTTCCTTGTTGGAATTTCAATACATCAAAGGCCTGGCTCATTACGTGGTCCTGAGTAGGTACTACCCACTATTCACCTTTGCCATGGGTCTGTGACAAACTTAACATCTGTTAAATCTGAGTCAAGCACTGTTAAATATTTATGTAGGGTCCCTCAAATGTTTATCCATGAAATTACACGCCAAACATGACTGAGACGTAAATGTCTTTTTAATTCCAAAAATAAATCGGAAAATTCTCGCCCGAAATCAATTAATGCACAATGAAGCCCTGCCCTTTAACATCTAAGATTTCTATGTCAATACAAACCATGACCCATAAAAACTTATGAATGGATAATGAATGAAAATTAGTAATATGTACAAATAGCACTTAAACAGAAACCTTTGAACATTATGTGCTGTTTAACCTCTTTTTTCCCTTCTTTGAACTGATTCAAACGAATTAATATTCCTTGTATTTTTTTTTTAATTCTACTTGATTAACATAAGCATAAATTCAAAGTTTATAACCTTCCAATCCACGACTTGCATTTTGCAAGAACATTTAAGATTAATACCAGTATATCAGAAAATTTTTCATCTAAAAAATAACAAGGTCACCCCAAGATGGAGCATCCCTTGCAAATAGCATATCTATAAATGAAGGCAGCATGCAACATCAATGATGTAAAATACTTCACTTCTGTTTCGTACTTCCCAACTTTTAGATAATCAAGATATGACCAATTTTTAAATTGAGGCAGGCTACTGAAAGATAAGTTGATGTTACATGGATTCAACAACCCTGCTTGAAGTCAGCATTTTGTAAATTCTATGGTTGTTAAAATGATCTTTAGATACTGCAGATTTTCAAACCTATTCTCATGTTGATCAAGTAAATTAGGTAAAACAACTTGTGACAGTGAGGTTTTAAAATACCAATTTATTAACTTTCTTGCATAGATTTTTATTAATGATCATGAGGTTGCAGTGGAAAAAATTAAGCATTGTCCACTGAAATAATTACAAATGTATATTCATCACACTTAATTGTCACAAATCATAGCATCACATAGCACTTCTTAGTAAATTCATTCATAACACAGTCAAATGATTCAATTTACACATTTTAAGTTAATCACGATTCAGATCTTAGAATGTTGTTGGAAGCACTTTTTCCAGTCAGGATGCACTAGAATGTGCATTAAGCCAGTGCCAGTTATTGGATTATTTGAGCCTATTTGCTTGGAGTTTCAAGAACTGCTAAATCACATGAGTTGGAGTTGGATTTGATTGCATGAGCTATCTGATTGGAAATGTAAGATGTCCTCCACCATACATAACACTGTCACCAGGTGGGATCCCCAAACCTCATCAGCAGCTTGTCTTGATCCGCCAAGTCTTTCTGCACCTTCTTCCTCATGTAGAAAATAGGACAATCTCGACTGAAACGAAATGTTTAAGTGTGAAAAGGGGAGTAATTCAACTCTTCCTCATGTAGAAAATAGGACTATCTTGACTGAAAAAAGTTAATGTGTGAAAAGGGGAGTAATTCAACAAGGACACCCAATCTCGACTGCGAGGAAATGTGTGAAAAGTAGAGTAATTTTTTTCAACTAGGACAGAAGTTAATATAAGCCTTCTATGGGTGTTTAAATATGATGCAGAACTTCCCTACCTCAAATTTGGGAAGGAGCTCAGAAAAGTTAACAAATAATGTCAAGTAATACACAGCATTACCTCAAGGGAAACCCTTAAAACTGCTAACTTGCCAAAAGACTGAGAAAATCCCCATGTAAGATTCCCGTAAGTTATAAACACTAACCTGGTACAGAGTACATCCTCATGTAAGCTGCCCTGGCACCTCTGACACTGAGTCCAGAGCCGGGAGAATTTCTCCTCCAGAATGTTGAGGTGTGAGATTTCCTTCTGGTAGATTTCTGACTCCTTTGGTCTACAGTACTTACACACAGCCACACCTACAAAGGTCAAAAGAATAAGTGTTTGATTATCAGATTATGTAATATATAGAACATGCATTTGATGGAACTTTAACATATAGTCTTAAGTAAAATTCTGGTAGAATTAATAAACCCTGTCTAATAGAAATTCAATTTTTCATGTCTACATTCTTCTTTTTCAATTTGTGCATGCAAATAAATCAACATTTCTTGCATATCCAATTAAATAAACAGTGATTCCAACTGGTTTAAATATTCCAATTGAACTTCCTGACTTTCTGACATCATACTTATTACTCCATGATAACTTACCTTCCTCTTGTAGCACTGTCCTGCAACCAATACAAGTCTCCTTCTTCTTGGCGAAAGCCATTAAACCCCCAACCTTAGAGGCCACCTTTGTTTTTGTCCTGGTATGGTCTCCCCCTATAATATATCAAATAACATTAAAAATTCATGTTTTTCATAAATACAAACATTAATGAAACCTTTCTGATCCTTAATTGGACATGATTAATCATATCCCTCTAAATGTTCAACCCTGCTGGAAGTAAAACAACTATGTGCCATTTACAAACTAAAACATCAGAGTACCTACAGTAATGTTTGTCCTTCAAAGATGAGGCATACTGCTTCAAATGTTCAATAAATTTTACCCAATTATAAAGTTGTCAACTATAATTTTGCCTAGGTTTTATAATTTGACAACTTCCATGCCAGTTGACTTACTCAGAAGTTCAGACTCTGCCTTTTTCTCGCCTAGAATTGGTTCAAAGATTCTGAGTAGAGGCTTGGAGAGCTGGTTCTCCAGATAATACTGAGTGTCTATAGCTATGTTGTTCTCCAGGACATAGATGGGGTCCTCTGAGTTCATGTAAGCTGCCGACCCCTTGGTGCCGGCGATGATGACATAAGGAACTCTATCCCCCAGCTGTGGAGCACTTCCTGCATCTCGCTTCTTCATTCTGTTAAGAAACAGATTTGAAATTAACACAAACAAAAAACTGCAGTCAAATGACAAGTTAAAGCACACTATACATCTACTGCATGAAAGTTTGGGAGACATGATTTCTTGGCCTATGAAAAATCATATTCCCCTCGGGCGTTGCCTTGGGGAATAGATTTTTCATGGGCTAGGAAATCTTATGTCTCCTGAACGTTCATGCAATAAATTGTTTATTATACCGAATCAAGCACAATGCAGGAAAATCCAATAAAGTAAACATTTGATAAGAACAATATGAAACAGGTGTAAGTTACACAACTTAAAATGAATATCTCCAATTATTTTGCAAAAGTATGATTTCACAAAAATAGGTGATCTACAGTAATGAGTCAATAGTTACCTGTGTGCCAGTTCCACATGTGCCTGTTTCCCTGCGTATTCGTCTCCTGTTTTTGTCAGTTCCTTGGTGATGACGAGTTGTGAGATGTCAATCCTGTTACACAGGAGATCAGATATAGACTGCTTAGCATACTCCACAGCCCCTTGAGGATCCCTGTACAAAATACAGTCTTCATTCTTTTTATACAGTTAATAATATTGCAATGGTTTAACGTTTGAAAGCTCAAAATTTTAATCAAAGTGGATTATGAACAGAGGATGTCATGACCCTAAACCAAGGTCATTTAGACAAGGCCAAATCTGTCCACATTACAACTAATTACCACAAGCTATATTAAAACAATACATTACCGTAGATATTGCTTTCTCCATCAACTTCACCATTTGTAAAAGTTTTTTCATTGGAAATCTATATGACTGCAAATTACCCAGTATAACCTTCTGATGAGGATGAAAGGTAGACAATTACCTGTTAATGAGGATGAGCTGTAGACAGGTGTTGATTAGATTGGCCACTAGAGGGCTGTTATCCCTGCGGACAGTTTCTATTCCTTTACAATCCATCTTATCATGTTTGTCTGGATTCGTCCAGTACAGTCCTGCATACCTCTTCTTGTTGATCAACAAATATGGAAAATACACCTGGAAATCACAAAATATTATATTTTTTAAAATTTCATGTTCACAATCCAATACAAGAGGCCCATGGGCCTTATAGGTCACCTGAGCATTATTCAACAACTTTCCAGTGATTGAATTTGATCCATGTTTTAAGCCAGATGCTATAGCATTTACAATTTGGTCATTATAACTATACACTTAACAGTTCCTTAGTTTGGTTGCTTGATACCCATGGGCAGGGTAGGGGAACAAAAAATGCATTTCAACAAATCAGTAATATTCAGCAATAATTAGTTGTGCCACTACCACACATGAACCCTTTACTCTTAGGCCTAGATCCACACATTGCACAATTTTTGCTTTGCCGCAAATGTTAATCCTGGCTTTAAAGCTTTCCTGGCCCTAGGCATCCTTGCTTTTTAAAAATATTTGATAAATACCAAGGAGCACATTTCAAACAATTCATTCATTTTTAGTATATAAGAACAGCCCCCCCCCCCTCTATGGTACAACTGACCCTGGGGTCTTGAAATTTACAATTCTTGAAGATTAGGTCCCTTGCTCATAACTATATAGGTAGTTCATATGCTTAAAGCCTAGGAGCAAAGAAGAAAATATTCAAAGATTTAATGTTTTTTCACTATACATGCATAATCAATACAGCCCCCCCTAACACCAGAGTCCCTGACCCTGGGGCCATAAAATTCACAATTTTGGTAGAGGCACTCTTGCTCATCATAACTATGTACTTAGTTAGTTTATTTAATACCCAGGAGCAGAGAAGAAGATTTTCAAAGAATTCATGTATTTTCACTATATAATCAATAGAGCCCCACCCTAACACCAGAACCCCTGACCCTGGGGCCATAAAATTCACAATTTTGGTAGAGGCACTCTTGCTCATCATAACTATGTACTTAGTTAGTTTATTTAATACCCAGGAGCAGAGAAGAAGATTTTCAAAGGATTCATGTATCTTTACTATAAAATCAATAGAGCCCCACCCTAACACCAGAACCCCTGACCCTGGGGCCATAAAATTCACAATTTTAGTAGAGGCACTCTTGCTCATCATAACTATGTACTTAGTTAGTTTATTTAATACCCAGGAGCAGAGAAGAAGATTTTCAAAGGATTCATGCATCTTTACTATAAAATCAATAGAGCCCCACCCTAACACCAGAACCCCTGACCCTGGGGCCATAAAATTCACAATTTTGGTAGAGGCACTCTTGCTCATCATAACTTGTACTTATTTAGTTTATTTAATACCCAGGAGCAGAGAAGAAGATTTTCAAAGAATTCATGTATTTTCACTATATAATCAATAGAGCCCCACCCTAACACCAGAACCCCAGACCCTGGGTCCATAAAATTCACAATTTTGGTAGAGGCACTCTTGCTCATCATAACTATGTACTTAGTTAGTATATTTAATACCCAGGAGCAGAGAAGAAGATTTTCAAAGAATTCATGTATTTTCTCTATATAATCAATAGAGCCCTGCCCTTACACCAGAATCCCTGACCCTGGGGCCATAAAATTTACAATTTTAGTAGAGGCACTCTTGTTCATCATAACTATGTACTTAGTTAGTTTATTTAATACCCAGGAGAAGAGAAGAAGATTTTTAAAGAAATAATGCATTTTCACTATATACTTTTTTAGCCCCGTCCTAGCACAAGTACCCCTGACCCCAGGGCCATGAATTTCACAATTTTGGTAAAGGACTCAATGCTGATTACAATCATGCAAACAGTTTGACTGCTTGATGTCCAGGAGTAAAGAAGAAGATTTTTAAAGATTGCATTAATTTTAGTGGTTTTGGCCCCACCTGTAATATCAGGCCCCAGGGGGGCAAGAATCATGAAATTCATAATTTTTGTTCCCCTTCACCCATAGATGCTTTGCCAAATTTGGTTGAAATTGGTTCAGTGGTTGCAAGAAGTGTCTCTGAAAATGTTCAAAAGTTTACGAAAAAATCAGACGAACGACGTAAACGAACGAGTAAAACGATGTGAAAACAGATAGCAATAGGTCACCTGAGTGACTCAGGTGACCTAAAAAAAGAAAACATATTTTCTATCGAATCTTTTATCCACACATTTTTTGAAAATAATACAACAGTGTATGCCCCCATTTTACTTCACTATAAACATTAGCAACTTTACTTCACTATAAACATTAGCACATATTTATGCTGCATACAGTAAATGCCCTTAGGATAATATCATAAGTGGAGCCTCATTCGTCCGGACGCTTTGGTCCTACTCAATTTGTCCGGATATGTGAAGCGTCCGGATATTTGAATTACCAGTTAAACAAGACAAAATAACGTTAAATAAGAGGCCCAGGGGCCACAGCGCTCACCTGAGCACATCAGCTAGGAAAAAACACATCAGATCAGAACTGAAAGTTAATTTAAGTTACTCATCTTTTAACCCCCAAGGGGATCATAATTTGAAAAATTCTAGAATCTACATTACCTTTATGATTCCATACAAATATACTAATCCTGGCTTTGAAGTACTTGAAAAGAAGATTTTTAAAGATTTTTCCTATATATTCCTATGTAAAACTTTGATCGGCCATTTTGGCCCCGCCCTACCCCCGTGGGTCATGACTTGAACAAACTTGAATCTACTCTACCTGAGGATAATTTCACATGAGTTTCATCTTTCCTGTTTCAATGGTTCTTGAGAAGAAGATTTTTTAAGATTTTTCCTATATATTCCTATGTAAAACTTTGATCGGCTATTTTGGCCCCGCCCTACCCCCGGGGTCATGACTTGAACAAACTTGAATCTACACTACCTGAGGATGATTCCACATGAGTTTCATCTTTCCTGGCCCAGTGGTTCTTGAGAAGAAGATTTTTAAAGATTTTTCCTATATATTCCTATGTAAAACTTTGATTGGCCATTTTTGCCCCGCCCTACCCCCGGGGGTCATGACTTGAACAAACTTGAATCTACACTACCTGAGGATGATTCCACATGAGTTTCATCTTTCCTGTCTCAATGGTTCTTGAGAAGAAGATTTTTTAAGATTTTTCCTATATATTTTCTATGTAAAACTTTGATCGGCCATTTTGGCCCCGCCCTACAAACCCCGGGGGTCAAAAACTTGAACAAACTTGAATCTACACTACCTGAGGATGATTCCACATGAGTTTCATCTTTCCTGGCCCAGTGATTCTTGAGAAGAAGATTTTTAATGATTTTTCCTATATATTCCTATGTAAAACTACACCAAATTTATTTTAATCCGGATCCCCTGTAGGGGTCATGACTTGAACAAACTTGAATCTACACTACCTGAGGATGATTCCACATGAGTTTCATCTTTCCTGGCCCAGTGGTTCTTAGGAGAAGATTTTTTAAAAATGCCAATAATTTTTCTTAAATCAATTATCTACACCTTGGAAAACAAAAAATTTATTTTTTAAACAAACTTGAATCCCCTTCACCCAAGGATACTTTGTGCCAAGTTTAATTGAAATTGGCCCAGTTTTCTTGGAAAGAAGATGAAAATGTGAAAAGTTTACACAACGACAACGCCGACAACGACGACGACGACGACAACGCCGACAACGACAACGACAGACAACGGACAAATTGTGATCAGAAGCATTCTCACTTGAGCCTTATAACAAGTCAAAATTTAAAAATTCTGTTATGAGGAAAAAGTTGTCCGGATACTGAAGCATCCAGATATCTGGCTCCGGATATCTGAGGGTCCACTGTATATGTAATATTCTCCAATTGCCAGTTCACTTTAGTTTATCAAACAACTAGCCTACACAGAAGCTGATATTAACAGAATTAAAAGACTATAGAATCATGTCCAGCATGGACATGATTCTATAGAGCTCTAACAAATTGACCTTAAAACTGACCTTCTCAAACTCCAGTTTGATTGGTTTGATAAATTTCTCAGAGATCAGTTCGGCTGCCTCCTGTCCAAGCTTCATCGCCTCAGCGACAGTTTCCACACCAAATTTACACATTACAGAATCTGTATCTCCGTAGATCACCTAAACATTTCAGACAGAATGCAGCACACTGTTAGTTTCCATCACTATTAAATTTCACCTTTTATTAATCTTACTAAATGTATTTTGAAAATAATTTACAGTTCGATTACATATAGCAATAAATCAACTACACAATATTATATTCTTTATGCCATCAAACTTAAGAGTACACTTTAATGATAGTTGTTAAATTATTTGCTTCATTTTAACACAAAATGATTTCTGTTGTGGTACATAAAGATGCACGTACAATCCAAATATAATATTGTTTTTGTGTAAAGCAAAATGTGTGTTTGCAAGTGTTTTGTATGGGAAAAAATAGGGGTGGGTGCGTGGGTTGTATGTTACCTTTGCATCATGCTGATACCCGTTAGCCATCGTATAATGTTCCTCTACATAGGTCTTTGTTTGCTCTATCATCATTCTGCCAAAAGCTGTCACACTCTACAATAAAGTTGAACCATTACACTTTACCCTACACAGGTAAGCATTTAAAACATTTTGTAGAATATTTTAATTCTCCTTACTTTTCTACTAAGTTAAAATTTCTTTTTCCCTTCTTTTCAATATGCACCACAGTATAAGAAATGAATGGTTATCAAGCAAATTCTACACTCATCTCCTTGATTTTCAACATTGAGAAGTTACACTCAATATTCTTTATAGAATTCTGAAATTTTATTTAATAAGCTTGGCACTTTGTTTGCAGACCTTCTAAATCTGGAGGTATAATAAAGACTCACCTGTGAGATTTCCAGACAGGGTAATTTTCCCACTTGAGCCCCTGTAAACCCGTACACAGAGTTCGCACTTATCTTCAGAGCCAGTTGTCGACCGTCCAACACTTTCTTCTTAAACGGATCCGTTTCCTTTTTCAGATCAGCTTTTGCTCTAGAAAACATTTTCAAACATTTGAGTACAAATCTCTCCATTTTTGCTCCCCCCCTCTCTCTCATATTACTTGACAAAAAAAAGACACAAATTTCTAAAATGGACCACAATTAACATATCCCAGTGACAGTATATTGCATATGAGGTTATCAATGTCACCTCGTCAAGTTTTTATTAAATTATATGGTAGTCAGGAACTCACTTTTTCCTAGCAGACAGCAGATGCTCCAGGATCTCAGGAAGTAGACCTTTTCTGTACTGAGATTTGATGAAGTAGTTTCCTGAGGGTGTCTTTATGTACTGATCTGGGGTTAATCTGTAAAAAAAATGACAAAATTTCTGGCTATTTACACTTTAGATCTCAAAAAGGAAAATTACATACAGTCAAGTCTTGTTATATTGAAATCGAAGGGAAACCAGGAAAACTTTGAGATATCCAAAGATTCCAGATAAAGGGTAAAAAGAGGTTAAGATTTCCAAATGACTTTAACATAGCAATTGTCTTCAAGATTTCAGTGTTTTAGATACCAAACTTAAACTGTATCCTATTCCAATTTCTGGATGGTATGACATACCTGTAAAGTTGTTAATCATTATCTGTACTCACCCCTCCTTCTGTATGGAGTGTTGACTAAGCAGTGTGGTATAACACAGATTGTGTGCCATCATGATAGAGGGGTACAGGGAGGAGAAATCCAGGGTTGCTATGGGGATGTCATAGTAACCTTTGACTGGTTCTATGACAGTGGCTCCCTCGTATTCGTCACCAGTCTCTACTTTGTGGGTCGGTAACAAGAGATCCTGCTCTTTAGCCTAATAAGTAATAAACAGGTTAACATCTTTGTACTCCTCTGTATAGTGCAGACACAAATTTAATGTCAATCATGTTTTGTTATAATTAACTAAATTTCAATGTTATATGGTTAGACTCAAGGTCAGTCCAACTTTCAATTATTTTACAATTTATCCAATACAAAAATCCAAAAATATATTACCTTTCTCAGCAACTGTGACACAACCTTGACCTGCTGACCTCTGGACAATAGATATGGCAGTGGGACTCCTGTGACCCTGGCCATTTCCATGTAGTTGATGACACACATCAGTTTGTCTAGGAGCCTCAGAGGAAGAATAGCATCTTTCAGGCAGTATACGGCTAAACGACGACGAGTTTGGTCATTACCATTCTGTCAACAGATTAATCTATATATTTCTGTTCTCTAAGAATTGTGTTTTCTTTTATAAAATCATAATGATGTATTTTTCTTCTACACAGAACATGAAAAAAAATTCTTTCATTAACTTAGTTGTGATATGTTACATACTTGCATCATGAAAGCATCAAAATCATTCACATTAATTTAAAAGTCCAAATACCATAATTTACGGAATACAGGTCGATACTTTTTTTCTCAGAATCGCTAGGGTCGTCCAATATACAGAATTCGACCTGTTTAAGGCTTGAATTTACGAAAAATGCCCCAAATAAGTCAAATTTACGTTAATTTCAAAGCAAATTTGTGCCACTTTCGTAACTTTTTTGATTATTATACGCAAAAAAATTATTGCTCCGGTAAACAATAAAATATTTATTCTATAGCTTTCTAACAAAATAAATTCCATTAAATATTCGTTGATGACAAAGGAAAAAAAAACATTGCTTCACCTAGTAAATAATTCCTCCGGTTTAAAAATTGTGTGAAACTACGGCGGCATTGAACAGGCAAGTTTGAGAAAAAAATAAGTAGAAAAACAATTCAAAGAAGTTTTAACTACATTTACATACAACTTTATTTAAATGCTGACCTCACTAAAATACCAGTTTATTTTCTTGATACGTTCATGTCACGGAATTACCACCGTAATTTTAGAGGTTTACCTGTTCTGATACATTATATCTGCGTAAGAATCTCTAGAAAATAGAGAAACAAAGCCTCGCCCTATATAGTAAGTTCGTCCTATCTAAGGATTTTTCAAAAATTAAGCCTAAAAATGAGCCTTTCGACCTATATACCCCATCGACCTGTAATCCAAAAATTACGGTAAAATATATATTGTACACTTTTGTCAATGTGCATTTAAAGTAGTTCACCTATTTTAAAAGCCTACTTCAACTTATGTATAAAAAAAATATCATTTTATGATAAGAAAATTTTCAATCAATTTTCATTATCACTATGACCCTGATAGTTACATAAGTTCTTTCCCCCATCCCCTCCCTTGCCTCTTGTTTACTCCATCCTTTTTATTGTGACTTTGACCTTACACAGTTATC